TAGCCCTACTCCTTACCACTCCACCCTAAGCAGAAAAAGCTTCCAGAAGCAGAGTAAGCTTCCAGAAGCAGAGTAGATTGTTGACCTCCGAAAAAAAAACAGATGCCATGAACCATTTGCAACAAGAAGGTATTCGATAAGCTCCTTGAACAGAATTAATAAAGATACTGGCCAGCCTTTACCATTTAATATACAGGTGAAGCTGAGAATGTTTATTTTTCTTTTAGGGTTAGGGTTAAAGAGTGCTACTTATTGATACATACATACATACACACACACACACACACACACACACGCATACACATATATTTTGGTCTGCTTTGCCCCTTTGGAAAGACCTAGGGGGCAGAAGCATCAGAATAGAGCCCCCAAATACGCCTTGAGTTCTTCTGAAGCAGCCTAGATAAAAGCTCTCTTCCTGGTTGCCAGGGGCTATAGAGGTATCTGTGGCAGTTAATTGTGTGTGGCAACTTGACTGGGCTAAGGGATGCCCAGATACCTTATGCAACATTATTTCTGGGTGCTTCTGTGAGGGTGTTTCTGGACAAGATTAACATTTGAATTGGAAGACTGAGTAAAGGCGACTACCCTCGCCTGGGTGGGCATCATCTGTTAAGGGCCCGGATAGGATAAAAAAGTGGAAGAAAGGTGAATTTGCTCTCTTTGCTTGAGCTGAGACATCCATCTTCTCCTGCCCTTGGACATAGGCACTCTTGGTTCTTACGCCATCGGCCCCCTGCTTCTCAAGTCTCTGGACTTAGACTTATACCATCAGATCCTGTGGGTGGCAGACCTTCGAACTGGGATCAAATTACATCGCTGGCTTTCCTGATTCTCCAGCTTGCAGACAAGAGATCATGAGACTTCTCATGAGCTAATTCCATTCTCTCTCTCTCTCCTCATAGCTATATCTATATCTCTACTTATAACTATATATAATTTATATCATTGGTTCTATTTCCTTGGAGAATCTGACCAATATAGTGTTTTTATACAATTTCCCCCAAATTAATAAAGGACTAAATGTAGGTGAAATTCTTATTTTCATCTCAGTTTATCTGCTTAACCAAATGTGGATTGTCATGGAATCGGATCTTGTATATTTGTCAGGATTTGTCTACTTAAAAGGCAAGAAGGAAGGCATTCATTGACTTGTGTACCAGGAACTCTAAAACATGACTCTTCAGATGTGACTGGGTTAAGAGGTTTAAATAATGTCATTAGCTCTGTCTCCCCATTGAGATGGCTTCCTCTCCACCTTGAGACAGAGATGGCCTCCGGCAGCGATGGCTATTACAATGTTTTCCCTGCATGTCTTTCCTGATACCTCCTTCAAAAATACCAAGTGTCCTCCTTACCTTAGCCAACCATTGCAGCCAGGAGAATGGAGTCCTGTAATTAACTAGCTCGAAATATGAGTCACCCGTGTGTGGGAAGGCCAGGCAAGGGATTGGTTATCTTGTTAGTAAAAGAGGAGCAATTCTCAAAAGGAAAATATACTCGGCAGGTGAAAAGTACTATGTCCGTAGACTTTTATAAGTGCCAACCTACTCACTCAGAAGCTGACTCAAATTACCAAGCAATACAGTGGGATATATGAGCAATACAAAGATATATAAGACATAGTTTTTGTCTTTAAAGATCATATAATCTAGTTGTTCTGGAAGACGGTCACATTATTTAATTATTTGAGGAAACATGAGTTAATTCATTGGAACATATTTTCTGAATGCTTATTTAAAGCTGGATTCCTGTCATACAGAGATGAAAGACAGATCTGTTCCAACAAAGAGCTTACAATCAGGTGGGAGAGACAAGCAAACCAACACAAATTTCCAATGCAGGGCCACAAACGTGATGACAGAAGTGTGTGCAGGTGACATGAGAGTCCCAAAGGGCAGCTATTTAGCCTGAGGCTCGGAGGAGCTAATGAATGAACCAAAGCTTGAAAAATAAGTGGGGCTCAGGTGAGGTCAGCAGGTGGGGAAGCACCTTGCAGCAGAGGGACTAGTGTGTGCAGAGGTGCAGGCCTATGAAGTAGGGTGATGTGTTTGGAGAACTATAGATCATTTGAATGAAATACAGGGAGGGGTACAGAGAGAGAGGTGAGACAGGAACCAGCTCGCAAAGAGCCCCGTGCCACGCTCACAGATTTGAGTTCGTTCCGGAAGGATGTTAAACGGGGCATGGATGTATCCAGATTTACAATGGAGCATGTTTCTTCTGGCAGCAGATGGAGTGGAGTCGGCCAGACCGGAGGCACAAAGAGTAGTCGGAAGATTGCTGGGGAGAGCACACAAGATGGGATGTGGGTTTCTTCTTTACAGAGAATGCCAGCTAATAAATAAGAAAATGACAAAATCACTGTTTTGCAACCCCAATTCAGGCAAGAATTATGATTATTAACAGATGCTAAGATATTCACATGGTCTCAAAGACTTATTCCATAAATTATTAGAAAGGGGATACTATACCTTTGCAATTGAAAGATCTGGTGGCTATTCCTTAACTTATAGGTCAAACAGCATAGTGGGACAATCTAATGTTATGTGCCTTCTGATATTATACAATAAGAGACAAATAATATCCCCTGCATAATATTCTTTCCAAAGATATTTAATTTGAATCTAATTATGAGGAAACAATTAGAAATCCAGAATGTGAGAGATTATCTAAGAAAACTGGTGGGAACTCTTCAAAAGTTTAGTGTCATGAAAAACAGAAGTAAAAACAAAATGTGAGGGGATTGTTTTAAACCAAAAGAGACTAAGGAGACCCGATAACTGCATAAAGTATGTAGCCCTTGATGAGATCCTTGATCAAAATCTTGAAACAGCTATAAAAAACATTTTGGGAACATTTAGGAAAATTTGAAGAGATTAAATATTAGATATGAGTTTTCTTAGGTGTGATAATGATATCATATCTATGTAGGAGAATGTCTTCATTCTTAGGTGATGCTGGAGAATTGAGAAGTAAAGTGTTTTGATGTGTTCAACCTACTTTCACATGGTTCTGGAAAATGTGTAATGTTCATGTGTGTACATATATATGTGGATGTTTTTACATATATGTGATATATATGACATGTATGGATGCTCTTATATATACATGCTATGTATGGTATATGTGCATGTGTGTGTGAGAGAGAAAAGGGGTGGGATGTGGTAAAATGTTAACAGTTTTTGTTTAGGAGAAGGATACATGAAAGTTCTTGCACTACTTAAGGTTTTTTGGAAGTTTAAACACTATAAGAAACAATGCAAAGGAGGAGGAGAAATGTAGTCAAGAGGGATGTAGAAATATTGAGAATCTGTCCCAATTTGAAATAATGTTACATGATCCACCTGAAGTGAAGTTAGGGAAGCAGGTTCAGCCAGGATTTCCGGTCCAGGTGAAAGGTTGTACAATGTACTCTCTTGATGCAAATAGCAACAACAATCACAATAACGACAGCATGTAATTTGCACTGGGAAACAGAGGGCGCTAGAGTCAGGAGCACTGACTAGGACTCAGGATGCCAGAGTTCTAATCCCAGGTCTCCCACTAAGCAGCTGTAGGCGAATGAGCTCAGCTCTTCTGGGCTCTTTGGACCAGATGTCCTCTGAGGTCCTGTTTATTCTTCTGTAGTTGTAGTTATCCTTCCTTATCGATGTTACTCAGAGCCATCGGAATGAGATTTTGTCATGTCTGCCATTTTATTCTCTCAGTCTTGATTTTTTCCTCCTTTTTGGCCGCCCTCTCTTGAGAGCCTACCCTTGACTACACAAGGTCCTCACTGAACATTGCTTCTGAAGTGGAGCTATGAGACCCTGTCTGCCTCTTGACTTAATGGCAGGACTTCTTTCCAGACTCTTGGATATTGCTTTCTCTTAAAAACTCTTCTGAATTTCTCTTTATTATAGAGCTAACACACACACTTGTGATAGAAAATATGAAAGATAGGGGAAAGTATACAGAAGAAAATTGAAATTGCTCACAATTTCAGCATTTCACTGATGACACTATTACATTTTTTTCTGAATGAATATGAGTGTGTATGTATTGCGTAACTGATCTCTTGCATACATATTTTTGTTTTCTGATTTTTAACTTAATCCTATACATAATTTTGTATTCTGATTTTTAAAAACTTAACATATCTTGAGCATTCTCTTGTGGGGAAATGGAACAGATCACCATTCTGCCATTTCTTATTCAGAATTTTGCAAACTTGGAAGATCATTTTGGAATCTTATTTTTAACAGCTCTCAGTATGATGAAGCACATTAAATATTCGAGAAATGTAATAAAATAAATGAGATATTAAATATGTTAAGACAAAATGTTAAAAGAAAATATTAAAATATGTTCCTTTATCATTATTTTATCTTCTTACATAATGAAAAGATTCATCATTTTTATATAAGATGTTTTCCAAATGATTTGGCAACTCTTTGCCCATTTCTTCTTCTGATGAAAGGCTGGCCCGTTACAACATCACTACTACTGGAGAAATACGAGAATAGACAAAGAATTTCTCAGTTTATGTTATGATATTGTTAATTCTGGATTCATAGAACCACTTCTGGGTGGTGGTGGTGGGATTGCAGGGGGTGTGTGCGTGGCGAGTGGGAAGTTAGAGCCAAGCAGAGGGTGTAAGAAAGTGAATTAAAAACAACAGGTGTCGAGGTCCGTACGGTAACTACTTCGGAGATTCCTTCTCTACTGTTCTTACTAATGCCAAATAATACAATCTACTTTTAATGTACTGTGTACGTATGTGCTTGTATGTTGTATGTGAGAAAGAGACATAGGGAGACATGTGAGGGAGGATATAGTCTAGAATCTTTTTAAAAAATCAAAAACACCACTAATCATGAACGTTTGCTAATGTCATTAAATAATTCAAAAACATCATAACCATTGACAGATGGATATTCTTTAACGTCTCCAAGGAAGAACCTGAACCATCCACTTATCCAAGCATCTAATATTTTGATCCAAGAAGTTCAGACCACTTAATTCATCTTCATGGCTCCCCTGGGAAGCAAGGAGAAAGAAGAAATTACTCTCCACTCTCTCTTTTATGTGATATATGTCTAGATACACTTATATTTTTATTATGCACTTATCTTTACAGAAAATGAAATCCCGCAAAGCAAGTACACCTCTCTGAAATCACTTCTAACCTTCATTAGAATGTACACATTCACTTGAAAGTGTTGCCTACATACGTACTCCTTGTCTTCCTGCATTTTTTTTCAAAAATACACATGTCAATGATTATCATACCTATTTTTTTCAGGTTTTAAAACTTTTTATTTGCATATTTAAAAAATTGTGCATTCTAATAATTAAAATCATTTGAACGACAAAAAAAAAATGGCACGCTGATTAAACTGCATGTTACAGCCTGCGGGACCCCTTGGACCAGCTTGGTTTCCACTCTAGATTTCACTGTCGTCCCACCCAGCTTCCGCCTTCACCCACGTGCAAGTTCTTTTCCTTCTCTGCCAGCCACACAGGCAGGTGGGAGAGGCAGGGGCGGCCTTCATTGTTGTCGGTAGTTCTTTGATGTGAAAAGTGGCAGCACAGTCATTTACACTTGATCCAACCGCTTTGCATCTCACAAAGTTAAACAGCTAAAGGAGTAAAATACGAAGGCACTGCTTGTGGCATGCGCAGTGCGCCGCGCGCCTCCTTGCGATCCACCTGCTTGCTTCCCCTGTTCAATCGTTTCTTTTGAAGGCAGTGGATTTTTCTCCCGTGTTTCTGTTTTCTTCAGTTCTGACTTATCAGATTTCTCAATCTCAGCCATATCGGGTTCGTCAGACATGGTTACAGAGGCACCAAGGCGTGCGAACAAGTCTGATCTGCTCAGTGGTGATTGCGGAGTTCATTCCTATGATTTTAAAAGGCTACATATTATTCCATTTTAAAGGCTATGTGGTATTCCATGGTTTACTCAATCATGTCTTTATCGTGAGAACTTTAAGGATTGCTCCTAAATTATTTTAAGCATCATAAGTAATACTATGAATGCATCATAGTGCGAATTCTTTTCCTCTTGGATATTTTTACTTGAGTCTTATTAATGTTAGCTTTTATTATTTCACTTTTGCTAGATTCGTAGGTATATAATAGAACCTCTAATCTGTTTAATTTGTACTTATCTAATTTCTGTCGGTGGTTTAAGCCATGGTTTCTATTTTCCCGTGTATAAAATTGTCTAGTCTTATCCTTTTATACTCTGATCATTGCCAAGTCGAGCTAAGGATTAGCCGCATAAATTTTTATTAGATCTAGATTTTTTAGGAATGTAAGCTTTTATGAGTTATATTTGTCACAAAACTTTTCTCGGTTACACTATTTTATATATTTTTAGATGTTAAGAAGGGATTGTGACAGGATTTATTCATGGGTTCTTTTCCAATGAGTTCTATTGCCATTGGATACCTCCATATTACCCTCTGCAACTCCTAATACCTAATACGTTGGTCTCAGAGCAAGAGGAGAAAACAGCATTGACTCAAGGTTGAAACGGGCCTTGGGATATCCCAGGAATGTGGCCCTTCCCTGGGGAACATGGGTGAGAACGGGACTGTCCGTCCCCAGGGATGTCGCTAGCGGCCCTCTGCTTTTCCACTTGACTATTTGTTCCAAAATGGTCGTGATATCTCAGCATTACATCTCTGCCTGTCCCTTAAACTGTGTGGTTAGAGGCCAGAACTGATTATTCCCAGAGCTGCCTATTGGATCATGGGGAGAAAGAAGCAAGGACAGGTGGCGTGTTTCCTTGACTTCAACATACTTGCCCTGGGCCACTGTAATACACAGTTGTCTCTCTTCCGTTATCTTGGGACCAGGCATTGCGCACTTTCCCAGGATGAAGCTAGAGTTGTGAGACAGAGCCTGGCTCCAAACAAAGTTATTCATTATGGTAGTTTCAAGTGGGACTCTATGTGTGTGTGGTGTGTGTGTGGTGTGTGTGTGTGTGTGTGTGTGTGTGTGTGTGTCGTCCATCTCTCTGTATTCTCCAGTGCACGTTATACTTGGGTAGCAGCCCCTCTTGCACAGTCTTTGTTGGCATATGAAGCTGTGATGTCAGGACGAATGCTTTGTTCCAGCAGCAGCAGGGAGGGAGGGTGCTCCCATGGCTGTGAACCATGTTCACAGACTCAGCCATTCTGCTCAGCTGTGTGCAGTTGGACCACAGTGGGTTATCACTGCTGGAACTGAGTGCTCCACTCTAATTCCGCCGAGTGCAAAGAATATGACCTGGATGAGAATGCAGTGATGCTGGAGAGGCTGGAGGACCCAGTGGGCTTGAAGGGGAGTGTGAGGGGAAGAGAACTATGAAAACCAGCAGGCAATGGTCTACCACTGCATTTCCAAGAAGGCATACTCTAAAACTTTAAGATAAAAGGATATTTATTTAAAAGAAAGGAAAGAAAGAAAGAAAGAAAGAAAGAAAGAAAGAAAGAAAGAAAGAAAGAAAGAAAGAAAGAAAGAAAGGAAGGAAGGAAGGAAGGAAGGAAGGAAGGAAGGAAGGAAGGAAGGAAGGAAGGAAGGAAGGAAGGAAGGAAGAAAGAAAAAGGAAAAAACATGCCATTAAGAGTTCTGAAACTCATATTAACAGCCTACATCAGAGGGCTGCAAAAACCAGTGTTAAGGAGTTGGAGAGAGAAAGCTGTTCACACACAGGCAAAGTAAGAAACTTCAAGAACAAGACAAGGGAGAACAAGACTTGGGGCAAACACTACGTAAAGAAAAAGTCCAAGAGTGTGGGTAAAGGGAGAGGCAGGACATGGCTGTTACTGGGAGGGCCGACCTCAGGCAATGTGGTGCACCCAGCAATTTTGCAGCCTAGCACCCCACCAATAATAGCCCTCTAAATACGATGCTTCAGTACCATTATTTGCTTAGTATTTTTAATTGACTTAAAAAAAATCAAGTATCTACTTTAGTTTCATCTTAAACAATACAATCTGGGAAATCGCAGGTTTGATATGCTTTATACACACACACACACACACACACACATATATTTCTAATGTATGTTAAATAAACACAACTTAGTAAAAGGATGTAATATACGTTTGTAAAGCACCTAAAATAATCTCATGTACTAATTGGTGGTATGCACAGCATTTTCTGGAAAATCCATCTTTTTCATTTCTGTTCAGAAATTCATCCTCTGTTCACTCTGTTAAGCCCATACCTTAGCCATCATCATCTCTTACTAAAATTATTTGAACCTCTCCCCCTGCCCATAAAGCTTTTTCCCTCCTATCCATCCCCTTCTCTGGGAAAGTCTGACTCTTCAAGTTTCAACCTGGCCTTCACTCCCCAAGGGAATCCCAGCCCCAAACTCCTACCCCTCCAGACTGGGGAAGGTTTCCCTGCCATATGACTTCATAGTTCCATCTCTTGTTCACCAAGCACACTTATTCCTATCACTTATTTCATTATTTTCAACCCTCCATTGGAGGTGAACTCTGCCAGGGCAAAGAAACGTTGGTCTTTTTCATCATTATCTTATCATTATCTTTTTCATCATTATCTTATCAGAGCCCACCACATTGCCAAGTTTATCATAGCACTCAATAAATAGTTGTTGAATGAATGAATTCCACCATCTAACACTCTTGGGCAGTTCTTCCTTTTATCAAAATCTTTTCTCAGTTAACTTCCAATGTGTACAACATTCAAATATGTAGATTTAGATTTAGAAGAACTATAAAGCCAAATGCGTAACTGGCCTGTTTTTTGGTTCAGCTGGCCAGTGCAATACTTCCCTGCAGAAGACCTGCTCAGAGTCCCTCAAATCACACTTATGTGGCGGGGTCACCTGTTTTGCTTCACAAAGTAGGGAAGCAATGTGTGTGTGGTGGTTGATGGCAGTCACCAAGGTTGGACTATTGGGTCTCAGCTTTCTCACTTCCTTGAGCAAGTTAATTAGCTTCCGATGACTCAATTTTCCCACCTGTAAAATAGGTCTTGATTTCATTAACATCTTTTTCTTTAGGCGCTTGCGTTCAGCTTTCCTTTCTCTGTCAAGTTATTTACCACTCATCCACATATTTCTACCTTCCAAAAATTTGTCGTCATCCCTAGTCTTGTTATCTCCTCTTCTAATTTCTTTATTCTTATGGATTTTTATCTTTCTTATTTCTTTAATATTTTTAGTGTTTTTTAGTGGGAAAAATGCAGAGATCATAGTTGGAGTCCATTTTACTAGAAAACTTTATCTATCTTTTCTATAATTACCATGTTTTATTTTACACTAAAAGCAAATAAAGGTATTTTTAATTTTATAAAGACAGAGTACCCATAACATTCTCATGTTGTCTACCATGGGTCTACAAATCTATTAATTGATTCAAAAAGGAAATAAAGATGGTTGCTGTGATTTTTCCTTAATAAACTCACACTGGCCCCTAGTATTCACTTAATCATTTCTAGGTGTTCACAGCAAGCAATGCTGTTTAACCAGGTGATTCTATCAATTGCCAAATATTCACTACCCAGCTGATAATTACTGGAACCCACCATTTTCCTTCATACAAAATCAACTCAATTTCAATTCCTTTCTAGTGTCTTGTGAATTTTTAAAGTTTATTGATAGTTACTCTTTGATTCCTTTTCCAAATCTTCTTAGCATCTATTTGTCTAGCCATGGAGGTTTTATTCATTAAAACAATTTTAATAAATTACTTTACCTACCTTAGGCTTTAATTCTTTCTTTGCAGTGTTTGTTCCAAATCTTTTCAGTTTAACGACTATAGAAGGATTTTTCTGGGAAGAGTAGAGTGGGACCTCTTAACATCCATTCTTCTCATCTGTGAGAATCTAATATCTGTGGGAGACTGGGCTCCACTTCCCTCCCACTATGGAAACCACAGAGGACAGCTCTCCTGTTCTCTCCTGAAGGCATTAGCATGTGATCTAGGCTTGGTGAATCGGATGCCATGGTACAGGATTTTGAATATTGAGGGAATAATGCAAAGAAACAGAATGTGGGAGTTTTTCTTGTTAAAATTATTTGAACATCTCCCCCTGCCCATAATGCAAAGAAACAGAATGTGGGAGTTTTTCTTGTTGCGGTAGCAGAGGAGTTGAAAGTACAGATGTAGAGGAATAGGCATCCTTGGTCAGTGATATCAAGAATGACAGCAGCCAACAGTCAGCCGCTAGCAACCAGTGGTGGTGGTGCCAAGGATGGTGGCCTCATTATGGTGTGTGATCCTTATGGTATTGGCTTCCCAATTTCTCTTGGCTCCTGGCTGGGCTGTAATCTTGGCTTCCCATCGACTCTGTGATTCTATATCATTTCAGTGAATTTCTTTTCTGGTTGAGTTAGCCAGAATTATTTTATGAACCTTGACTAGTACAGAGAAATTGGTGCTGAGAAATGATTGTAGGCAACAGAACCTTGGGGAAATTGGTGGGAGAGAGACTCTACTACCTGGTAACTTAGGACTGAGAGCAGTAAAATTCCATTAGTAGATAAAGATGATATGTCTATGACATACAATGGTAGAAAAAACTAAAAGATTAATATAGCCTCTGATCACTGCTCATTAGAAGCAACTATTTGCTCCTGCCAGAGCACAGGAAAGTCAAAAATAAATAAAGGACTGCAGGGTGGTATAACTTCTGTTGGCTCTGGTTTCTGTAAGCAAAAATAAATGAACGACAAGCTCAAATCCTTAAATTCTCAGGTCAGAATATAAATTGAACAATTTTCTAAGACTTCATGAAAAAGAAACTCATTTCAAGACAAAGATAACTAAAAGCCACACTCCATGAGTTGCCAAATTACAAAGTCAACTG